GTGTTTTTGACGTTATGATAATCTGTAGCTCTTAAAGAAAGGGGTAATAAAAATATTATTAAAGAAAAAGTAATAAACATACACTCTTGAAATTTAAAACATAGGAATTTGAGAATATCTCCAATATTTTTATTATGTTTTCATGTGAATCCATTGTGTACGTCATATTTTGTAACACTCTGTAAAAATAGTAAAATTTGCTAATTTTTTGCATTTTGAGATAACAAGACGGTAGAATTTTGTGTTTCTTACATATATTGTATTATATAGTATTACTCATCAAATATTTTAGTTTGAACAAAATGTCTATTGTAGTATTTGTATAATTTGCATTAAAGTGTTAAAAATTGGCATTTTCCTATATAATCCTATAGTAAATGTACCTGTATTTTGAGACGGTCCCTCAAAAATATCTGGACGGTAGATTTCCCCCAAACTTTGCATGTACACTGAAGGTAATGTAAGTTATATATGGTATAAAAATGAAGAGTTTTGCTATTGTAGTTTTCACACAACAAAAATATAGTCGACCCCCTTAATATTAAAAACAAGTGATTTTTTAATCTGTTTGATGAATAAATAGTTTATTCATTTTACAAATATAACTGAATGTGTAGTTTAAAAGACGTAAACAAAACTGAAAATTTGTTTAAATAAAGTGCAATTAAACTAATGCATACGTCATATATCATGTTGTATAAGATGTTGCAATAATTAAGTCTAGAACTTTTCAAAATTTCATATTCTAATAAATTTTCATTAATATCTCAAATGGGTGTACGTAGGTGTTTGTGATTGGTGTGTTTTTTTGTCCATCAGCAAATTTTTTAATAACTATTTAACATTATTTTTAGATCAATTCTCGATTTAATCTTTCTCGAGGTATTTTGCATTACATTTCCTTGCTGTACTTACCACAGTGATTGTTTGTCACATTCATTCGGAATACCTCGAGCGAAGACACGGAGGAAATAAGCTTAAGATTATCCATCTTCGATTGTGTGACTTCAGCTTTCAGGGTATTAATTGTACTGTTTATGTCGTCTGTGAAACAAACAATATATAAAAGATGAAAGAATACATTAACATGTTACACGATTATTTTCTTACTTTCTTGAAAGTGAAGCCTTTTCAGAGAACAGCAAAATATCATACCTGACTATTTCTTTATAGAATTAACAGTTTTGTGTGGAAAAATATTAAGTAAATATTTTTTTGTTTTCAATATCTACCAAATTTTACTATGGATAAATACATACGAGAAACAGAGGATGTGATATTATATTGAAATGAGCTCAAATCATTCACAGTCGCCTGGAGTCTTCCCTTCGTAGCAATCAAATCTGCATTCAGATTAGTCATAGATTCATTCAGTCTCTCATAATCTTTAGCATGTTTTTCCTCTATGGTTTTGGGTAGAGTTTTCTCCATATCCAGTGTATGTTTGTTCAAGTCCAACAAAGTGACAGATAGATATCGAACCTCGGTTTTTATATCTCCTAAAACGGTAGTAATATTTGATTCAAATGTTTGCCTTTTCACCTTCATATTTCTGTCTACAGTTTGTTGAATCTCGAATAATTCTGTCAAATTTTCTTTGACAATTCCGGCAGTTTCTTTTAAACTTATAATGTCATTGTTTAATTTCTTATTTTGTTCTTTAAGCGAAGCAACTTCTGTTCGTAAGTTCGATATCAGAGACGAGCTATCTTTTTGAGACTCCTGCAAGGAGGTTATAACTTGCTTCATGTCCACCATATCCTTCATCAATGTATGGACGTTTTTCACCAAAGAAATTCGGATAAGGGTTTCTTGGTTAAGCAGTTGTCGGAACACGTCTGTATTTTTGGCATCGGCTCTTAATTCTTCTATACTGGTCAAGGTGTTGTTATCGTTACCTGTGACCACGGATAATCCCTTTACATATACAAATAAGATAAAAAGCACAAATGCTGACCAAGTCTTGTAGTCCATGTTGATGTTCAAACTATTGTCTGATGAATGATGAGAAAATTTGATATTCTGTGGAAGTATTTTGTGCGGATTTTCATTTCAAGTGTCTGTAATTGAAACAAATTATGAACCAATTACTTTAAGTGTATGACACGAAGTTAAAATTGTTATCTATTGCGAACACTATGTTTTAGAGCTATTATGGCATCTACTTGCAGATTATTCAATTTTGTTTGAAGTTTATCTCTTAGGAAAACATTTTCATCAGATCTTTTTGACGACCTTGTCGATTTTCCAGTATTTTACTTGCTTTTCTGAAAACCAGGGCCGAACAAAGAATTCTTGATTCTCGATTTCTTAATTGTTAAATTCCTATTCAATTATTGAGAGCATCATGATAAAAACTTTTTATTCTGTAACATTACGCAGGAATCTATTTCTATTTACTTTCTATTCAAATTCCCTATTAGTTCCAGTATAACACAATCTTTATACCAACTATTGATTGCATTTGATCCAAATAAGATATATTTTTAATTTTACTTATATCATTTACTTATAGTTTATTCTATGTTCTTATATTGGGCTAAAGGGATCAATTTTCTTTTATTTTAGCTTTGGTTAATTAGTAGAAAAAATTAATGTATCAACATGAAAAAAGTTTGTTAACGTAAAGTGAATGAAGGAACCATCTATCAGGAAAATTTCTCAATTATCCGCCTTTCCAACGTCAAAGGTGTTCATCATTATTTCACCTTCGGCGAATACAGGAGTATTGTAATCTAAAAATGCCAGCATTTTTCATGCCTATTTCATTGATGAAAACGTAATTACTTTTTATTTGGGATTGAGAAAAGACTAAAGAATTAGCATATTTTTAAACTCTCAGATTAGATTAAGTCATCTTGAAATCGACAGTAAAATGTGAGCATAATTCATTTAGCACGTGTTGCATTTTCTACAAATTTTATAAATATGTTATGTTACCCATTGCTTGAAAAAATCTTTATCAAAGCACACACAAAAAAATTATGGTGAGAGTATGTATGAACTTGATCGAAACATTTCTAGAATTTTCAAGTGAGATATTAAGGATATGGAGATAACGAATATTGCTCAATATCAAAGTCCATAAAACAATACAAAATAGGAGCAGAGCGAACACGGACCTCCGAAACATCAGAGTGTCCACGTTTATTTTATCATTTATTTCAGATTTCCTATAAATCAAAGAAACAATATGGATGCTATTTTGCTTGTTTAATATGGCGCTTCTTGCCGTGGTGATCAATTTGCTGGTGTTACTACAGGGCTGCCCCACAATCAACAATCAATACAACAAATGAGATGACCCAAATAGGGCGGATCATTCACTGGGTAGGTCACAAGTGTATGAACGTCACCAATGCAATAATCAATCAAATTTAATTGATCATGTATTACTCAATCAGTCAATCAATCAATTCAAATGTCAATCAATTCAATTACATGTCAATCAATTAAAAATAATCAATCAATCAATTCAAATATCAATCAAGTCAATAAACAATGGAATGAGCGTAAGAATATTTGTTGCACTCGTCCAATTGCGTTGAGGAGCGTCGGAATACGCAAACACTAAGAAATCCAACCACGATAAGGCTGAACTGGACGCTATCCCCAACAGGCAGCCATCACGGTATAGGTAAAACCGAGACTTCATCACCGTCACATTGGTTGATGAGGACGCTGTACCCAATAGACAATCTTCGCAGAATACGCAATCATACAGAATTCACTAATGCAACACAGGTTGATGAAGAAGCTAGACCAAGCAGGACATATAAATTTGAAAATTCAATATTATATTATTTGAAGAAAATATACGGGAACAAAAGTCAATGCATGGTAATGCAGAGGAAATTCGGACTAATTTTTTTCATTTTTGTGGAAAATTTTTATTTTGTGCAAAATTAATCACAAAGTAAAGGTTACATGTATTTTTAGACATTATTTTCAAATATTTTTATGTATTAAAGCTCAGAAATAATTTCAAATAATTAAATGCTATGAAATAAAGAAATTCAAATATATATATATATATATACAAAAACCATTCCAGACAACATATCTCAGTAATTTGATCATTGACCCCATATCATATTATTAATGTATAAAATAAGGGCAACAAAAGTAGCCTGGGGTTATAAATAGTTTAGAGTTTTTATCAGTCAGATTTTTGTAATATTCAATTAAAAATGGGGAAAAAAAATATAAATATGACAGAAGAAATTCGGACTGTAATAATTATCATGTTTATGTCCCAAACTCAATCATTTCTTTATATGAAGCAACACTGTTCTATTTTGAAATTGAAATATTTAACGCAAGAATCATAGGTGTATAATGTTCAATAGGTGGTTTTTTGTTCTTATCAGTGGAATTTTTAGTCATTTGAGCAAAGGTATACCTTAAGGTCAAGATCTAGTAAATGAAAGATGCCTACAGATTTCTCAGATTTGAGAAATAAATTCTTTCAATGATACTTTATAAGTTTATCTTGGTCAAATAAGGTGTTTCGGGGCATAATTTGTAGGTAAATTTAAAAGTCATATTTTAAACTGTCATTTTCAATGAAAAGTTAAGAAATCCAGTCATGAATATGGGACTTTTTTCCATATCAAACAAAGAAAATGTATCCAGATAGCCTACAAACTTTCAGAAAACGGTGATATGTATGTTCATGTATATTCTTGGCCTCTTCTTTAAAATAATGTCAATTCTAATATAGGTATCGGGACTACTTTTCATGTAATTTCAAATTGAATTCCCTGAAAATACTTAATTTTCTACATAATTCTATTCAAGCCGAAAAGTACAGGAAAAAGAAGTTGAAAGTGATTATGACGTCATAATGGAACAAGCACCAAAAAGTTAGTCTCATGATATTAACTGGATCTTGACCTTAAATGACAAGATATCCGGAATGGAGGAACATAGGGTTACTAAAAGATAAATTCACTTATCCGAGACCAGGCTCAAATAAGTGGTGATGTTAGTATCGGAAAAGCAAGAAAAGTATTTGAGTCAGGGAGAACATTTATTCTAGAACACCTTAACGGTAAGTTTAACTCAATGTTTAACGTTACCTTATCATTAACCTATATCAAAGAGTTCATAATTATATTAAGCTAAAAATTATGCTGTGTTATCTTATTTTTTTATAATAGTGTACAGTTTTAAAATGTTAAAGCTTTCAATATCCAACGAAATTACTACAAACACGTTAATTTTTTGCATGGCCGTTTACAGTCGCTTATTAACGCTATTTTCAGGATTACAAATGTACATTTCATTTTCAAAGTTCGAAAATTAAGGTAGGAAGAATCATGGAGACTACTTAAACATTGCATTTAATCAATTCAGCATGTACTAAGGTACATATTTACTATTTGGATTTTTAAACATTCCCCGTTAAAACCTTTAAGTTATGCGTCTAAAAATGTTACACTTGATATATTTTTTTTAAATTACAACTAAGATCAACAAATGTTTATCAAGGTTACCTTTAACCTTGAAATCAAGTTTATAGACGTAATTAAATAAACATACATGTCCTCTAATTTTGTTTCATATTCACTCTTTAAATGTCGAAAAATTCTTTATAACGTCGTTGAACGTCGCTTTGCTGCATGTGCATTCAAAGTTTCAACTGTTGTTTCTTTATAGAATTATATCTCTTGTTTGGGCGGATTTTAAATGAAGATAAACTAAATGCCTAACATGCCTAACGCAATGGAAAAAAATTGTACTTTTTGTTGAAAAATGTAGCATTACACAAACATATTTAATTTTTTTAATTGTAATCATTTTGCTGAACAACAGTTCATCTGAGTAAAAGCAGGTATCGTACTGGGGTATTTCATTTAATCAAGTTACATTAATTTGATCAGGCTGAGTAATATTAAGACTGTAAAAGTGAAGTTTATTGTTTGTCACGGGGGATCTTTCAATATGGAAAGAGATATTTGCATGCTCTGAGATTATTCTTATTTGCATTGTGTAAATGAGATATTGCTTTTTTCATTTAATTTATTGTTGTTTGGATAAACCAACATCATCAGGTCGAGAAGAAACAACAAGATATTTCTGATCAAGTGATTATTGAAGTGATCCTTGTGTTCATTATTTCTTGGTTCAGTTCTGCTACGAAAAAATGCTGAGTGTAAAATTTGTAATGACGGATTGCTTGACAGAATGTAATGTTAAATCATCTGTCAATGCATGATCCCAATAAATGTTTTGTTTAGGTCAAAAATACATTTAAAACGTTTTCAAATTAATTCTACACATGGTTTATTTATAAAACACAATAATTGTGACCATATCTGCATATATTTATCAACACATGTTCAAAATACAATTATACATTATATTTCAAAGTATCCAAATCTCTTGCAGGTTTTGTAAGCTTGGAAAGTTTCGTATTTGGTTTTGTTGACACAAATATTGTTATTCCTGGATTGGATAAGATCCGTACGTCATTTATATTGAGTGAAAATCTCCAGTTTAGCAATCTTCCCAGAAATCTCCACGATCAATACTTCCTGTATGGAAGCACAACCTTGACAGTTTGTTGCAATCCCTAACAAAAGTCTACCAGATTTCCGTGTGACTTTAGTTTGCTCTAGATAACTTTAGTAAAGATTTTGGTACTCTGACTTTCCATGAAACTTTTCTCTAATCTTTTTTTAAAGATTTTAAAGATTAAAACCCCTTTAGTTTGATAAAAGTGATACCGTGATCAAAAATTTGGAAATGATACACAGGCAAAAGTGGCTCACATGAATTTCATGTGAATTCTTTGCATGAAAAAGACACGAAAAACAAGACATGTGAAATTTATGTGAAAACTTCATGTGAATTTGACATAAATTTCATATGAATTTTACATGAAGAGCACATCGCATAGATATCATGCAAAGAAAACTTCACATGAAAGGTCAAAAAAAGATTTGTGTGAATATCATATAAACTTTTATTCACATGATATTTATAATTACATGAAAATATATTTACATGTATA